GTGAGATCTGCCTGCCTCTGTCTCCTGAGTGCTGGTACCAAAGGTGTGTATTTACCACATTTACCACACCTGCCACTGGTTCTCTGTTTTGATCAATTAAGTCACATCATTATTCTACTGAGAATGACCCTTCCTGATTTTAATCATACACATACCCCATTATACACTGTGGGAGACCACGCTGCCTGGCAGCCCTCCCTGCCCCCCCCCCCCCCCCCGGTGGGCAAGCAGCCTCCAAACTTGCTGATCAGTCCTCCCTGCCCCCTAAGATAAGCAACCTTTCCGATGACTCGAGATAAGCCTGAGCAACCACCAATTTCCTTAGCCTGCAACCAAGACTCATGGCGCCAGTTCCCCTCATCCTAAGGGACATTCATTAACCGATTGAGACAACACCTTCCGTTCCCCTTCCCCAGCTAACTTCCCGCTTCAGCCCGTATAAGAATCCCCGAGGAAAAATAAACTTTTGCAGCTTGATCAGAGTTCTTTGTCTTGCTGTCATTCTTTGTGTCTCTTGTCCCATCATTCCAGGTCCCTGGGAGTTCGAGTCTCCGTCTTCTGCCCTGCAGGCCAGGCAATACACAGGAATAAAATGGTAAATAGGGGATTCTTCCTAACATTTACCTGAGGTTTTGCCTTTGCTGCTCATGCAGCCTGCCCTCCTACTGTGGGACCAAAATACATTGGGGATATGTTTGAATAAAGACTGTCCACGTTTGATGGTTGTCAAAGGGAGGAGGAGACTTACTCGTTGTACAGTGAGGAAAGTACATGTAGGCAGATGCAGGTAGGGTCCAAGGTCGGTAGGTGCATTGTTTGGAGAGGGTATGTGTATAATATGGGCAGGTAAAGGCATAGATTGCCAAGTGCATTATAAGGAGAAGGGATGTGTGCACCACTGAAACCATGTAGAGTCCCAGGTTACTAGAGTACCCTGTGTGTTGCCTGCCTCAAGACAACCAGGGTAGTGCTGGGCTGAGTCTACCTGCCTCTAAGTTTAACAACTGTTATACATGGATATCTGTCTTGCCGAAACATATTCCTTGGTTATTCAGGGAGCTGGGGGGTGAGAGGGATTCTGTTTCTTAGTTTTCAAAAAAAAATTTTTTTTAAATTTTAATTCTTATTACTTTTAATAATTTATTGAGAATTTCATACAGGCATATAAGGTGTTTTGATCAAATCCATGCCCACTCCCTCTCCTCCAACTCCTTCCATATCTCCCCATCACTTTTTTCTGATAACTTCATGTACTCTTTCTTTTTTCTTTTTTTTTTTTTTTACAGGGCTTTTTGCTACTCTAACATTCCCCCTTCTGAAGAGGTAACCCTAAAATCTTTAAGGGTTAGATAAAAGCTCCCAAATACTTTAGACATTTTGGCCTTTGGAACAGAATATGTTGTTAAGAGGCCCAAGGACATTGTGTCTGGCTACTTTTCTTTGGGGTCTTTTTACCCTAACTGCCTAGCTAAGTCCTACCTCCTATTCTTATCACACCATTCTCTGAAGAGGTTACCCAAATTGCCAATAGGGAATTGGGACGCAGACCGCTCTAGCTTCTTCCATGTTGAACAGGGACACAGGGTGAGGCAATTGAGGTTCCCCTTCAGTGGGTCTATCTAAAAGACTCCCAGGGGCTGGAGAGATGGCTTAGTGGTTAAGAACACTGACTGTTCTTGCAGAAGACCCAGGTTCGAATCCCAGCACCCACATGGCAGCTAACAACTGTCTGTAATTCCAGTTCTAGGGGATCTGACAGCCTCTTCTGTCCTCCACGGGCATTGTACGACACAGGTGGACTCACCTACATGCAGGCAATACACACATACACATAAAAATAATAAATAAATAAATA